ACTTAACCATGCTACCCAGGCTCCCCTCCCATGGAGTTTTAGATGTTGCAGCTTTTCTGAATGTTCATGTTTCCCTTTTGTTAGCCATGGGTTCACTCCTTTTCAGTCCACTTTCTAGAATCCTTCTTTCCTTTCTTTTGACTGGGTTTGGGGGATCATGAGCCAGTCAACTCTCTCAGATTTTATCTATGAGTGTCTGTCTGTTTCAGGATATGAACTTAAAAATGTGAATTTGTGTTTCCGGGGCTATCAGAGTAAAATAATTTATTGTTTATTACCAAATACATACATAATACAAATCGCTGTATGGGAATCTCCACCCATCCTCCCTTCAAGGTTCCAGAGAAGTGTAGAAATGAATGTCAGATTTAACTCTATTGAGTCAAGCAGTTGAACATTCTAGCTAAAAATTCTGGAGCTGGATGGTGGTTATGGTTGTATAACAGTGTAAACGGACTTAATGCCACTGAGCAATACCTTATAATTTACCATCTTAACCATTTTTATGCTATATGTATTTACCACGTGAAATATGGACTTAGCAGCCTAGGATCTAGGGCTTTAAAATCAGGCTTTGTCATATATTGGCTGTTGGACCCAGGGCATGATATTTAGCCTCACTGAGGATAGTTGACTTATCTTGCTATGGGCGGTATCCTACTACATACTAAATATACTGTAGTAGTTTCTTCCCAATCTGGGAAAGAGGGCAGGCTGGATGAGTGGTGGACTTTCTGGAACAGAGCAGGCAGACAGGGTGGAGGCCTGGATTGGTACATGGGAGGGTGATGGGGGATCAACTGCTTTCCTAAAGGGTGGGCACTTGGTCAGAACTCAAAGTCTGTAGGTAGGTGACTAGCATTCTACTAGGGTTTCTTTCCTTTAGTCTGGAATATAACTTTTTTTTTTTTTTTTTACTCTCAGAAAGGAATCTTAGACATCATGCTAGTTTATCCCTTCATTTTACCTGTAAGAAGGCTCAGGTCCAGATAGCCAAGGGACTTCCCAGGTTTGTGCAGGAGCAGAAGTGTGATGAGAACTTAGGATGCCTGATTGTACTCCCCCACCATTTTTAAGGCTCACTGAATGTTGGGCATTTTTGACACAAATTTGGTTAAGTCAGGGTTCTTACTCTCAAGAACTTGCCATTTTTTCTTCCTCGAGAGAAAATACACGAATTAACTGTAATAAAAAGCACTAGGATAAAATCCACTATGATAAAGGGGCTGGAATCGAGATGTGAATGACAGAAGGGGGCGCAGTGAGGTCCACCTGGAAGAAGGTAAAAGGCATCACACTTGAGCCAGCATCTCTGTGGTTATGGTGGCATTAAGGAAGCACCCTCTTGGTTGGACACCATTTGGCCGGATAGTGGGGTGCATGTATGCACACATGTGTGCGTCTATCTGTCTGGGCGGGGCAGGAGAGTCCAGGTAGAGTCGGCACAAGTAGGAACATCTTGGAAAAGGACTTCCTCTTTGGTAACAGGCCTGTGTTTGAAATCCTGCTCTCCCCCGTACTAATTTTGAGCAAATAATTTGCCTATTCTGACCTCCGATTAACTCGTCTGTAACACAGGGTTAAAAAAAAAAAAAAATGACTGGAAGGGTTGTTGGGAGGTTTTCATTGGAAAATACATACCCAGAATATTAGTGATTTATATGAGAAGGAAAAGTCTCCTTTATACAAATATATGTGGTTGAATTACATCCCTGTGACCTCTCCTGCTTTGTAGATTTTCAGTGTCTTAACGGTGGGGGGTTGGTGTTGGTTCTGCGAGTTCTCCAAGGCGAGGAATACTTGTAGGGTTTCCCACAGTGCCTAGGATAGAACTCTGCTCTCTATATGGGAAAGAGGTAGTTAGGAATACCAGGCCTGGGGCCCTTTCTTTTGAACTATCCTGTGCTTTAGACTTCTCGGTTTTGCCTGGTTGCAGATTGAAAGCATCAGAATGAATAACTGTGTGTGTTAACTTATTCATCTAAAAAATTCTTGAATCTAGGTGCTCAGAGCTTTCTATAGTGTGAAGGATGATGGTTGTTCAGTTTGTAAATATTAGGTGGTCCACTTTAGTGTGTCTCTGCCCGGGAACCATATGAGGTGGGGTGAGCTGCTAAGGATCCTCTGGGGGTGACGAACATTTAGCTGTAGGGAGGCATAATCAGTGTTAGATCTTTGCTACTCGCCATGTGGCCCCTAGGCCAGCAGATGGCATCATCTGAGAGCTTGTTGGAAATCTAGAATCCCAGGCCCCATCCCAGAGATAAGAATCTGGGCCAGAATCTACATTTTAGCAAGATGTGTAGATGATTTGTGTGCACACCAAAGGTTGAGAAGCACTGATACGGAACATGGGATGTGGATGACCGTTGCTTGGAGTTCAGTCTCCCCTTTGTGGAGGAGCCGTCCTGGTTCTGTCTGGCTAGAATGTATCCCCCAGTCTATGTCTGACGCACTTCGAGAACTGAAGAATAGTTTTCAAATTGACTAAGAATTGCAGGGTCGAGAAAGGAAATGGGGAAGGAACAAAATATGAAAAAATTGTTCTTGATTTGAGGCTCTACCATTTGCCTTGAATTGTGTGATTGAACTCAGCGTCTGTAAAGTTTTTGCCTATAAAAGCAGGCGAGTCAACATTTTTCTTACCCAAATCATTAACCACTAGTTATTGGCCATCTTGTTCTATTCATTGGCTCAGCTTTTCTGTCCGGTTATTTCCTGTAGGTAAATATTTTAAATGGAGAAGGACAGACAGGAGAGAAATGTTTTTATTTCTTTTAAATGGATATTTTCTGAAAAGGAATTAATGATGAAAGACTGTAATTTTTGTTGATGGGGTCTAACCAGCACAGGGTGTTCAGTAATCCTGGGCCTTTTGGTGGAACATAAAGGTCTTTTTGGTTTCTTATATTTTATGAGATATCATTTTTCTGCTAAAAAATTAAAGTTGGAAAAGTTTTGAAGCATAGGTAAGCCTGGGGTTCTGAATTTTAAGTGTAATTCTTAGTGTTTAAGAACATTATATTTAAAAAGGTAAAATGTTGGAATATTTTTGAGGGGGAGGGAATTAAAAAAAATTTCAAGCTTGGCTTTTAGTGTTTTTACTTTTATCCTTGTTACAAAAATGGCATTTTCCTAGCATGACATTATCACGTGACCTTTGAGCCTGTTTGCCTTTATTTAGTTAATTTACTCTCCACTAGTTTGAAATTTTTGAGATGGGGAAACGAGCTTTGGATCGGGGTCAAGAGCCAGGTCAAAGGTTGGCTGCTGCCTTGGCTGTGGGGCATGGGCATGTCCTGGGCTCTGATATCGTCATCTCTGAATGGAAGGAACTGGACCAGATCCATGATTTTAATGGGGATGGGGGCTCTATGAGCAGGTTGTGTGTGTATCAGGACCTTGAATGTGGAGAACAGATGTTATTTGATAATGTCAATACTGTATTTATTTGGAAAGTGGAAAAAAAATGTTTAAACAAGTGGCACCATGTAAAGCATGATACAGTCTTGCTGGATAGCATAGGATGGGAGTACATGGGACTAACAGTTAGTGCAGGTAACAATTTTTAGTGAGTGCATCATGCCAGGTACTGTTTTAAACTTTTGGTGTATATATGTTCTCATTTAAACTTCACAAACGCCGGGGCACCTGGGTGAATCGTCAGTTAAGCATCCAACTCTTGATTTTGGCTCAGGTCATGATCTCGTGGAGCCTGCTTGAGATTCTCTCTCTCCCTCTCTGCCCCCACCACGCTCTCTCTGTCAAATAAATCAACAGATCTTTAAAAAACAAACAGCAAAAAGCCCTCACAAACCCCTAGATCAGTAATGTTATCATATGAGCAGATAGAACAGAAAGGTAAAGCATTTCGTTTGAGATATCATAACCAGTATACGGGTAGATCTGGGATCTAAACCAAAACAAGTTTGCAACCTTGGCTGCTAGGTTTCCTGCCTCTGTATTCACAGTCTGATATGAATCAAGATAAATTCTATCTATAGTTTACCTTCTGGAAAAAGAGTTTTGTGATATGTGTAATTGTATGAAATTGCCCCTCAATCCTCAGATGTAAAAAAAAAAAAGAAAAATCACATATTTTCCTTTAAATCCAATTAAAGTTCTGTTGGCAGACTGGTGAATTGTTCAGTATCAGTAGCACTAGGGGATTCCTTCCCCACCCACACAATTTGGCTAGAAAATCCTGAGGATCTCAGATCCCCACTTTATCATGGTGGTGCCAAGACGCTCACTGGCCAACCCTGCATTGCCCATTTTTGAGTGGCCAATCACTGTTTATTCCTTCCATATGCAGCTTGGCCACCACGATCTCCCTGGGGCTCCTGAGGCCAAACCAAGGCTTTTGGGTGTTAGTTCCCAGCTGTTCACCTGTTCAGTCTTGCCAGAAATTTTCACCTGCCTGGTACAAGTCCAGACACAGGGTGTTAATGGACACACAGCTTCCTGAAGGGAAAGGAAGCATATCTCTCATTCTTTCATCCTAATCCTATGGGGAATTGGTTAATTTCTCTATCAAATTATCCTCCTGCCTGAAATGACAGCTAGATTTAACGCGATTGACCTTAAGCAATTTTATTAGCATCCAATTTGCATTTCTCTTGTTCGCGTGGCAAACCTGAGATAACCTCGATTCATTGCTTGTACTATCTCTGTGACACTGGGTACATGAATTGAATTCTCTAAACCTCTGTATCATCTTTTATAAAATGGGAATAATAATGGTTTCTGTTCCACAGAGGGCCCTCGGGGACCCACTCTGACCAGGTGCTTATTTGGAGAATGGCAATGAGACCAGCCAAGCCGGAGGGAAGAGTCCAAGTGGGTGGGGCTGTGGTGGCACTCGGGCTGGAAGTGTATAAATGCCATCTTATGGAGTTTGGAGTCACATTGGCCTTCTTTCTGGTTGTTTTATTGACTGGAGTTTGTGCTCTAAGAGGTGCGAAAATCCCTCTGATTAACTCCTGTTTTGGCCTATTTAGGACCCGACCGACTTTGAGTGGAGCTTCTGGATGGAATGGGGCAAACAGCGGCTGGTGCAGTTTCTGTTTGGCCACATGGCTGTGTCTCAGCTGGCCAACATGCTTGCAAGGAAGGTATGATTATGTGCCTTATTTCCTTTTAAGCTGCTTTCTTTGCTTTTTGAGAGGAAAGAGTCCTGAACTGGGAATCAAGAGATGCAGGTATTAGCCTTGGAAGCCTGGAAAAGATGAGAAAGACTTGCTGATGATCAATAAGACATTTATGATAAAGGTTTCATACATTCTTATCCTGTACTTGCTTCCTCCAAGTTATTTTTAAAACCATCGAATATGAAAGTTTTAGAATAAAACTAACTACAGATGGTGCTAAGATCATACCTAATCAAATGATCTTATTAAAACAAATACTTGTTGAGGACCTGTGATTTCTCATACAAATTCAGAAGAAAGTAGAGTGAATGATATCATTAAATGGGAATAATTTTAATGTCAAATAATTTATGCCACGGTAGCTGTTGTAGATCAGAATTCCAGTAGTATTTTTTATTCTTACCCTGGCCTGGAGTGGAGAACAAGGGCTACTTCAAAGGGGATGTTTGAGAATTGCTTTTGCATGCAGGAGGATTGAAAGCCTCTTGATGTGTTTAGCTACCAAGGGATCTGAGATCCTACCAGGAGGATCTTTCTGTAGTGGAGGGGCCAGACTTTGTCCAGTGTCCTCTGCTATATGCTTCTTGACTCTGTAGATTCCTAATTTGAAAAAAATGAGTCTCTGCTTGGAAATCTATGTAGTAAAGACAATAGAACCAAAAACTGACTTGGAAGTCAACCCACAAAAAATGTTTGATCCTTAGAGGTTCATGGAGGTGAAGAACCAGAAGAAGCAGGAGCCTCTGGGCAAGAGAGACCAGAATGTGAGACCAAGAAAACAAGACGTGCCATGTGGTTAGAGAAGTGAACCTGACTTGGGCTATTTTTTAGCTGTTTCTTGAAAATTGGTACTTTTTAGGCTTACTTCTCATCCTGGAAGATAGGAAATCCCAATGGCACATTAACTTTCTTTGTTTTAAATATGATATTGACTACTTTTTGTACTCAAGTGGTTTCCATCTTCTAAAATGGCGAAAACGAAAATCATTACTGTCAAATCATTGCTGTCAGATCTTCATACATTAAAACACTTCCTAGGACTTTCTAAGCAGACGCAATAATAAATAATACATGTTTGGGGTATCCCTAAGCTAGTAGGGATTATATAGGTACCCAAGCCCTCATTAATGGGTTTCTTTTCTTCCACAAATTTCTGTTTGATGTTTTTTTTAAGAGTTCAAGTTTTCTAGAAATTTAATATTTTTGTGTTTAACCAAGATTTCTCTGCCCATAGGTAAATGACTTTGCCCCTATATCTCTCTTTCCCCATATGTAAAATGAATAGCATAATACCTGTCACTTTTACTTTGTGAGCGGAAGGTGAAATGTCGAGGAGGATCTGTGAAATGTGTCCAATCTTACTACTACTGCTGTGGGTAAGGGTCAGTTGCAGTGTAGCAGAAGAGTACTTGGTGGTGTATTAGGTCCTGGGCTTTCTGACTGATTAGCTTTATAACTTTAGGGAAGCTTTTCACCACTGAATTTTAATTCATCATTTTCTGTAGAGTAGGGATGGTGAGACAGTACTATTCCTTTTTTAACCCCTTAAAAAATGGGGAGCTTCATCTGTTAGAAATGTCATTGAAAAGTAAGGGTGAGGGCACCTGGGTGGCTCTGTTGGTTAAACATCTGCCTTCAGCTCAGGTCATGATCCTGGGGTCCTAGGATCGAGTCCTGCATCAGGCTCCCTGCTCAGCGGGGAGTCTGCTTCTCTCTCTCCCTCTGCCCCTCCCCTCTACCTGTGTGCTCTCTCTCTCTCTCTCCCAAATAAATAAATAAAATCTTTAAAAAAAAAAAAATAAGGGTGAAACATGGAAAAGGATGAAACATGGAAAAAACATACAAAAGAAATGGCAGATAAATGCAAATATATCAGTAATCACAATCCATGTAAATGGACCTAATTCCCACCCATATCCCCCAGAAAAAGATTGTCAGACTGGATAAAAGAAAAACAGAAATAAAGGAAAATAAACAAAGAAATAAAAGCAGAGTCCTGAGATATGCTTCTTAGCAAGATCTACTTAAAATGGAGGGACATGGAAAGTTTGATAGTAAAAGGATGGGAAAAGATGTTCCAAGCAAATCTAAGACTCTCCTCTCCCCTGGTACAGTTTTATCAATGGCTGGCAAAGAGCATTATTAGAGACAAAGAGGTTTATTGTTTAATGATAAAGAGTTAATTGGGAGGGTGTTCTAAGTTTGTTTGCTTTAAGATATATAATGAAAAGTTGATCAGTACCGTAAAGATAGATAAATATATGATTATAGGGAGAGATTTTTCTTTTAAGGTTTTATTTATTTATTTGAGAGAGCGAGTGCCAGAGAGCACGAGCGGGGTGAAGGGCAGAGGGAGAAGCAGACCCCCAGCTGATCAGGGAGCCCGATATGGGTCTCAGTCCCGGGACTCCAGGATCATGACCCGAGCTGAAGGCAGTCGCCCAACTGACTGAGCCACCCAGGTACCCCTATAGGGAGAGATTTTAACATAGCTGATGGCTAATTGATAGATCATGTAGAAAAAACAAGGAAAAAATAATAAGCTTGATATAAGAAATATATGTAAATTGTTACACATACCAACTAGAGAATTCATATTCTTTTAAAGAATACAGAATATTTATAAAAATTAACCACATATGGGGGTGCCTGGGTGGCTCAGTCATTTAAGCATCTGCCTTCAGCTCAGCTCATGATCCCTGGGTCCTGGGATTGAGCCCCGCTTTGGGTTCCCTGCTCATTGGGGACTCTGCTTCTTGCTCTTCCTCTCCCTCTGCCCCTCTCTCCCTGCTCGTGTTCTCTCTCTCTCTCTCAGATAAATAAAATCTTAAAAAATTAATCATATATGGACCATAAATTTCAACAAATTTCAATGTATTTTCAACAAAATTTCAAAGTATGTGTTTTATATAGGTTACCCTCTTTAATCCCAGTGCAGTTAAGTTTGGAAACCAATAACACAAGATGACCTGAAAACTCTAATTCATTTAGAAATTAAAGAGAACATATTTTTAAATAACTTGTAGGTCAAAAAAGAGATCTTACTAGAAATTAGAAAATAGTTAGAAATGAATGAAAAAGATGTTACATGGCAAAATTTGTAGGTGTGGCTAGAATGGTACTTAATTGGAAATCATAATCTTACTCATATTAAAAAAGCAGGAAGGCTGAAAAATAATGAACTAAGCATACAACTTAAGTTAGGACAGAATAGAAGGAAAGGAAGGAAACAACAAAAATAAGAGCAGAAATTAATAAAATAATCAGTGGCAATATTGGTCAAGGAAAAAGAAAGTGCACAAATAAGCAGTATTAGGTATGGAAAAGTTGATGAAAAAATATAGTAAGAGGATATTTTGCACAGCTTTACACCAAAAATCTTGAAGACTTTAGCAAAGCACATTTATAGAAAATACAACTTACTGAAACTGACTCATGAAGAAAGAGAAAGACCACATTGTGCTATCACCATGAAAAGAAATTGAATCATTAGTCAAAAATCTATTTGTAAAGAAAACACTAGTAATATATCAATTCTGCCAAACATCCAAGACACAAATGGCTTAAATCTTTCCCAGACTTTTTCAGAAAAGAAAAAGAGGGAGCCTACCTTTTATGAAAATAGTATAAAACTGATACCAAACTCAGAGGATATGCCCTACCAGATATTATGACCTATAAAGATATGATAATTAGGACATTGTTGTATTGGTGCCAGGGTAGACAAGTAGACCAGTGGAACAGAATGGAGTTTAGAAAATACCTGTGCAGGGAGCCTGGGTGGCTCAGTTGGTTAAGCAACTGCCTTCGGCTCAGGCCATGATCCTGGAGTCCCGGGATCGAGTCCCACATCGGGCTCCCTGCTCAGCAGGGAGTCTGCTTCTCCCTCTGACCCTCTTCCCTCTCGTGCTCTCTATCTCTCATTCTCTCTCTCTCAAATAAATAAATAAAATCTTAAAAAAAAAAAAAAGAAAGAAAATACCTGTGCATAGATGGAAACTTGTTTTGTGACAGAATTAGCATTTTGGGTCTGTGTGGAAAAGATGAAGTGTTCAATAAACAGAGCTGACACAGTTGTTTAGCTATGTTAAAAATAAATGCACACTTATCCTTTTTTTTAAATTTTATTTATTTGAGAGAGAGAGCACATGAGAGGGGGGAGGGTCAGAAGGGGAGGCAGACTTCCTTCTGAGCAGGGAGCCCTTTGCGGGACGCGATCCAGGGACTCTAGGATCGTGACCTGAGCTGAAGGCAGTCGCTTAACCAACTGAGCCACCCGGGCATCCCCACACTTATGCTTTTCAAGGTAGATTAAGGACTTACAGTGAGAAAGTATATCATTTTTAGAAAGTGTGATGTAGTGTATCTGTTAATGTTAGGGTTGAGAAAGATTTCTTAAGACACAAAAAGTACAAACTGTGAAGGAAAAAATTGATGTTTACATTAAAATAACTTGTCAGTGTATAATCATGTGTAATCATCATTGTATAATTGTGTACATCTTTGGATGTATCCAAAGAGACAATGAAGAAAGTGAAAAAACAAGTCACTAATAGGTCATTTACAAGCTGACAGAGGATTAGTATTTAGAATACATAAAGAAATTTCCTAAGAAAAAGACAAATCACCCAATAAAAAATGGCTTAAGATGTGCAAAGGAATTTGCAGGATAGGAAGCATAAATGACCAGTAAACTTAGAACACATGTTAAACTTTATTAGTAATCAAGCAAATGCATCTTCAAACTCTATCATTTCATACTTTCCAGTGGAGCAAAGACAAAATCCTGATTGTATCAAGTAATGGCTACCTGAACTCACACGGAGAGCTTGTGAATATATATTTTTCTTTGTAATACAAAGAGGTGCATAGCCCATAGCTGCAGCGCTAATTCTTTTTTTTTTTTTTTTAGGAGAAAATATTTGCAACGCATATTTTTTTTTTAATTATGACCAAATGGGATT